TTTTTCTGGGTCTGTCTGACACAACAGGAGGAGCTACTTCACATGTGGAATCAGAGTTTAGAAAGGTGTTTGTATTGCAACAAATAGACAAACCTATTAAATTGCAGTGATGTGATCCAGGCCCTCAGCAGCTTCATCTGAAATGTAACCTATATATCAGCTCCAGATGCAAAAAGACTGGAATGTATGGTGCACAGGATTTAGATATTTCACAGTAAATTAATTAGGGATCAAAATTTTTGAAACTATATGCTCAAAATGTTATGTTTTCTAACTTGTTTTGTAGACGTTAAACCTTTCTGCCCTTTTCTTAGAAAACTACTACATTAAAAGAAATTTAGTTGTTTGGTATGTTATTATAATCTTCTTCTGAACCAGCACTGAGCTTTAGTGCTTAATACCATTTAACACTGTATAATCATTTAAATCCACTTTAATGACTTTTGTAATATAAATGTTTTAAGTATAGTAACAATTTATTTTAACAAGTGTTTCCTGATTCTAGGCATGTGTAAAGAAGATGGGGTATGTAATATGTCTGACCAGATAACTGCTTTTACAAATTATATTCATTCTTTATTTAGCTGCAAAATGAAGAGAGTTCAGTGTAGTTCAAGGAAAGCATTGTGGTAAACAGGCAGCTTAAATGTGAGCAGTGTAAAGAGCAGCAGCTTGCAGAAATATTGCTATAGATACTAAGACCATATCCTGCCTTGGTACGGACCACACATAATTGAATCACGTTCAATAGAAGGCCATTACAAAACAGAACTGATTTGCAATGCTAATGCGATGAAGACAGCTGTCGCTGGGAATTAAATATGATCATTCAAAGCCTGAATAAATGAGGTGCCCATTATCTTCTGGCTCTGCTGCAGCCTGCTTAAAGAACACAAATAAATGATACTGTCTCAATAACCAGCTCAGTTTTGTCTTCTAGCCATAGAAATATTAAGAAGACAGGGAAGAGGGAGGGAATACAACAACACCAACAACAAAAAGCATAGTCGATTTACAAAGGCAAGCACAGAAGCAGTGCCCTAGGACTCTATTTTCAACAGAATGGTATTTGTGGAAAAATGGGGAAAATAGCTCTTTAACCAAGCTAACGTGCTTTAGTTTAAAAACCGCATTCTTATTTGCAGAGAAACAGTGAAAAATAACAGGTGTCTAAAAATTACCATCAGCAATTTTTCCAAAAGAAATCAGCCAGAGAATCCAAAATGTCCAGTGGACTGGTGTGGAGTCTGTAAAGAATGAGAAAGGGAAGGTTAAGGGAAATTTCCTTTCCTTTTTCCATGCAGTGCCACAAATGTCATAAATTATTGCTATCAATTTTAACGTGAGCCTCAATCTACATACAAGGAAAAAGCTAATTAAGGTGACAGAAATTTGCGCTTGTTTGAAGAGGAAGTTTTTTTAATTTCGCCAAGCCCACAGCTGGAAGAAGGATAAAGAAAGTTATCACAGACATGAAGGCTGCTTCTGTTTCAAGTCAGGATGGTACCAGTGCAGTGGGAAGGTCAGCAGATTATGTGGCAAGTAGGGCATTGGCTAGAATTTCACTGCAGAAAACACTGTATAAAGTCTGTGCTTAAAAGGAAAAAAGAGAGAGAACAGAACAGGTAACTTGCATAAATCATATTGCTAGGATATATATATGTGTGAAAACATTTCTGTAGAAGTGTGATATCCTTGAAGGGTAATCATGAATGAAAGATTATAGAGCTGCTTTTCTCTGATCAGACAAAGTATTTCCCCATCCACTTCCCCTTTATATTTTTTTTTGTTTTCCAAAACAGAAATAACAGGCAGAGCCTGGAAATGATCAAAATAGGCTGGGAGATGTGGGAAACACCTGACATTATAATAAATACTAGCAAATGTAAAGTCATATGCAGGCACACAAAGACAAATGAACAGGATGGATTCAATTTGGAGATTATCTTTTTAGAAGTCAGCAACATCAGTAATGGGTAGAAAAAAACTGTTGTGTAATTATAGACTGAAGGCCAGGCTGGTTGCAAGTCAGTGCACAAACTACAGGCAACAGTGTTTGCAAGACTAAGTTCATAAGAGCGTCTGCACTTGAAATATTGTATATTTCCTTTAGATCCTCACATGTACTGAAACTGCAATTTAAAAAAGACAATTAATATGGGGGGGGGGGGTAAGTAATGGAGTGTGTGTGGAATGACCAATAGAACCAATCACTGCTCTGTAAAAATCAGAGGAATTGGAGACACAGATAAGTGAAGCTATACGTGAAGAAGTGGAATTATTTGTATTTTGAAAGAAATAATGGACATAAGCAATATCTCCATAAAGCAACTGTGAGAGGTGTTTCAAGGACAGAACCCTTTGATATCAAAACACTTTGTATGTTAACTCCTCTTGTAAAATTAAACAGAGCAAGGTCAAAGAAATGAGTATTTGAAATTATTATTTTAAGTTCCTTCATCTATCATTTTCTTGATAACTATATAGTTTGCAAATGCTTTAGCTGTGAGCTGCTAAATAGAAGGCCTATTGTGCCCTATTGTGAGAATGTCTTTAATGGATTCTCTATTTTCCCATTTTCACTTGGGTTTTAGTATTTTTCCTGTTTTAAAACCCAGGGAGGAAAAACCTTGTATTCACTGTTTTGAAACTCTTTGAGAGCAACGCAGAACCTGTGCATTTACTATCAAAGCCTTTGATTATGTTGAGCTGTAGGAGTTATTCCCTCCCCTTTCCTACCAGTGACTATTGCATTCCCTGTAGATTTATGCCTTTTACCGCTTCAAAAATTTCAAAATACATTTTAATCAATAGGAAACTTTGTAAGACTGTTGTTGATGGTTGCGGATTTTTATTTGTTTATTTATTTTGAGTGGCAACACCACAGGTGATATACAGCCAGAGAAAGAAGCACAGCACTGCATGGCACCTCACAGACAGTGGGAATGTGCAAGGCAAGGCCTTTCCAATGCTGTCCTGTGTTGACAATATTCTCTTCTAGGAAGAGGGAAAGCACCTCAAGCATTACCAGATGAATGAATCATCCTGTAGCTTTGGAAAAGAAAGCCAGGAGAATTCCACTTTTTTTTCCCAACTTTACTAAAGCACTTGGTGTTTTCATGCTCTGAAATTGTAGCAGTTAAAACTGACAAATGTAGAACAGTTTGCAGGTTTACCAAATGGAAGTATGGCACGCAAATTATCCTGCTAGCACTGTGAGAGCGAACTTCAGTATTGTTTCACAAATATACTCTTGTGGCTAATTCTTTAATTTAGGGTGATGCCATCTTAGCGTGAAGTGAAATAAAGACTTATGAAATACTTTATTACAGAAAGTAGACTTAAGCTGGCCCTACAATGTATGAAAATTCAATCACTTAAGGTTCTTCATACAGGAATTTTGGGCGATTGGACTGAAATGGCACTAGTTTCTTCCTGTTCCCCTTATACTTAGCTGTGTTGTGGAAGAAAAGGAGTCAAAATACATATAATGACTCGCTATCTTCTATTTGAGTTGAAACCAAAGCGACTGCAAATAAAAGCCAGGGAAAGCAGGACAAAGGAGAAATGTGTACTGTGCTCCCTCCTCAGCAGCTGGAGCTTTCTGGGTACAAGAGGGCCTTGTACCTGGAAGAATTTTAGCCCATTGCAGTGCATATTCCAAAGATCAGTGCAATGCAGGTGCATGTATTTCAATACTAAAATGTTCTGAATCCTCTTGCGTGGTTGTCCTGCCCCTACTTAATTTCAGATTCCCTTTGAATGCTACTGAAATCCAAGGAAAAGAAAAATTCCTTTTCTTTTCCAGGTGTAGACTGTGGTTAACTTCCTCTGTTGTGGTATTTAACTGATAGAAGCTTCCTTAAAAAAAAAAAATAAAAATCTTCATGATATCTGGATCGTATTTCATTTTCTATTTCATCTAAGTACCTAGAACAGTCCAGAAAGAAGAGTACAGGTAATGATGGTATTGCTTCCAGGTAAGAAAGAAGTAAAATCACATCTGGTTTGCTGCTCTTAACATAGTTAAAGAATGCAGTTGTGTCCACCATGCTGTGCAATTCACAGACTAAACCAGCATTTATCATAGTAAATGGCAAGAGATTGATGGAGACTAATTACAACATTTCACAAGCGATAATTGTTGTTAAATGTTGGTCTTTACATAATCTTTGTGTAGCTCTGAAGAGCTCTCTTTGATTTCACTTGATATGATGACATCACCTTCAGTTCCCTAAATTCCAGACTGTGCTCTGTCTTGTAGCTCTGTACTAGGGAACCAGGTGCTGGGCTGCCCTTCCCATCATGATGTTTTCAATTCCAAGAGATGCACTTCAAAGTGGGCAGAACTTGATACAATCTTTGAAACCTTGGAGTTGGAGAACCATATGGATACCTACATATTCTTTTAGTTGTTGCTTCGTTTCTGTGTGTGTGGATGGTTGTGGCTGGGCTACTTAGAATCCAGCTTCAGAACATTGGATAGGTTTGATGTGTTTGTTCAACCTTCTTTGCATAATTCTTTGCATAAGTTGTAATTTAATTCTTTTTCTTATTAAGCATAAGCTTGAATAGAAGTAAGTACTGAGCAAAAGTGTTTGTGTTGTGTTGCTAAGGCTGGATATGCAGCTATGAAGCTGTTGTAGAGCAACAATATGCATTATCTTTACTTTATGAGACAGCTAATTTTTGTATTGTATACTCAAAACATGAAAATAAACTGTAACAGAAGGTCTTCTGTAGATCTTTGTTCTCAGCCTGCATTTTTTCAGTCATTTTGTTTCTTTTCCAAATGGTCTAAACTGTATTACATCTCCTGGAAAATTTAATTAAAAAAAAAAAAAACAGCAATAACTTCACACTAATTAGTTAATTAGGGGCCATAAAATGTTCTTTCTGTCCCTCTCCATTTTTATTCTTGTTTATTTCTGAAGTGTGAATGGGGTGGAAAATCCATCCACTAAAAGGGAGATGGAGATAATTGAACTCTTTTCATACAGTTCCAGGTAGAAATCAAATCCAAGACCCAGAGGTGAAAGGTGAGCTCTGTAACTACTATACCAAACTATTCTTGGTAATTATCAGCATGAGCATAATTATTAACATTTCAATTATACTCACAGCACTACATCTCTCCAAGGGGTTTAACTCCACTGATTTTTAACTTGTCTTGTTTTTTTGGTAGACATCCAGTTGGAACAAAGTTGATGGATAATATTTTTGACACAAAAGGGTAACATACTTTTCAGAATATGTGATCTATATGTTTTGTCCTCAATGACATTTGCGTGCTTCCAGATTTTGATTGCTTGGTAACACTACTTGGCATGGTGAGGTGTCTATTTCAATAGATTTAAATAACTTGTTACACAAGAAAGAAATGAACAGCTCCAGACTATCCTCTCTTAAAATCTAAAGTTGAAATTACAACTTAGATGAATGATACTGCATCCTTTGATTTAAAACAAATACTTGATCTTTGCTGCCTAATAACTTCTAATACAACTGCTTTCTAAAATTTAATATGCCCAAGTATGAAGACCAATGTTTTATGAATTTTAAAATATCTTATATATTTTTAACAGTTTGTGAGTATTAAGCAATTTAGGTTTGAAATAAATAAAAGATTTATAAGTAGAAATCACTTGCTTCTTCTCTATTGCTTCTGTATTATGGTTGAGTTCTGCCTGTACAGTGTTTGCTATCTGAGTAAAGTTGCCACACTATTCTGTATTTACAGGAGTGGTACTTTCAGAAAATGCTTATAAGAACAGCTTACCTGGGGAGGAATGGAGACTTCAGCTTGACTACTGATAAGACAGCAAAAGCAACTCACCTAAGGACTTGCTGACCCTGCATAAGAGAAATTAAATGAAACAACATGTAGTACTGGTAGTATCCTAAGTTCCTGCTCTACAGCACATGGGTTTGAAAGAACATCTGTTGAACCTGTTTAAAATTCTTAAATCTTCATTAAAAAAATGGTGAGCTTCTAACAGGGCTGGAAGAAAGAACAGTGCAGCTTCCTATATATTCTTTCCTATTCTTGTGCTTTTTCATGGAAATCTGCTTATGGCCAGAAAATTATGCATTAGATGAACCTTTGGACTAATACTGAATGGACACTTAAATTTTCTTCTGTAGGAACTGTTATTTGTTAAGGCTGCAACGTAGCCTAAAAACATCTGCATACAGCAGCAGGATGTTGGGATATTGGCAGGATTTATGTGTAATCAGGATCCTAGAAAAAATACATATATTGCAAGCTTACATTTTTAATGGTGGGCATTGTACTTTGATAGTGTACACAAAAGATGCAAGAACATGAGAAACACAAATGCAATCTATGAAATGTCTTTGTTTCTTTCTAAAACAACAATAATAGAGAAATAGAAATGCCATAATAAAAGTTGAGTAACACAGGAAAAAAATGCAATGGCTTTGGAAGACTCTCCCAACTTTCCCTGGAAAAGCAGGATGTACTTTTATGAAAAGATAAACCATAGTTAAAAGGGATGGGTAGAAGAAAAGCACTGATTTGAGGAGCGCTACAGATAGTGCTCTAGATACTACAGAAACTATTTTGCACAAGTTAGTGCTACACAAAACTTCAAAATAAGTGGATCATGGAAGCTCAGAACAAGAAAACAAAGGCCAGCAGACAAATTGAACATTTACAAATATGTCAGGTTATGATGATGTCATTAGCAACTTGAAACAACTGCAAGTAAAACCAAGCCTTGTGCAATTGTGCAATGGAATGACAAAATATCACCAGGAGAAATGTAAGCAGTGTTTACAACCCCAGATAAAATATTCAACCTGAAATGATCTGGTATCAGCACATACGCAAGTTTATGAATTTTATCAAATATCTTTGTACCAAAACAAAACACAACTCAGAATTGATTAGGTACCAGGAGTATCCTCCAACAATTACTATAAAATTGCCAAGGAGGAAAAGAAATGTCTTCTGGGCACATTACACCGAGAAATACATTGAGCACTTCCACTGACTAGAAATTTCTTCCTTACAGCAAGCTTGTTCATAACTTTAAACAAAAATGTATGGGACAATTATCTAAACTGGAAATGGCTGCTTACCTGACAGTGTGATATTGCTAGCAGGTTTGGTTAACAGTACTTTCCTAAGTCTGGGCTGGCCATGTAGGACTGATAACGAAAATTATGGGCTGGTTCTCATTCCTAATGCAAGTAAAAGACATTTTCCTTCATAATAAATAGCACTAGTTTCCATGCTATCTGTCCTTCTTCTTTGCCAGAGCTTGATACCACTACAGCTGGGAATGATCACGTTCCAGATTTCAGCTGCTGCAGCTGACCATAGCCACATTCTGCATTCTCTGCCATCTCTGCTGTGAGAACAACAGTTATAGCAAACCTGCAGGTTTGTGACTGCAGGCGTATCTATAGTAAAGCTTTCTTTTTCAGACACTCTTTTTTTTTAAATGGCAGATTAATTTTTTAAAAATGGAAGATGGGAATAACCCAGAATATGCTGCTTTACCTCATGATGCAAATGTAAGTGTTAAAGGAAGACTGCAGATGAAATGCAGCCCCTTTTGTGTCTTCCTAGCAAACAGGAGATACAGGTTCAAACCTAGCATGACAAATCCAAAATGGTTGCTACAATGACCTCTCCATTGAATTAAGAGATTCTTCTACTGAGCTATAAATACGCTGTGTGGAAGCTGAAAAATCTTTGTAACAACTGAAGGTACTAAAGGCCAGAGGTCAGTTCAGTGTTTATCAGTGCAGTTAAAAAACTGAGTCCCAAAGCTTGGCCAACCAGCACTGTCTTTTCTTAGATAAAACTCTCCTAGTGTTAAATAGAGTCTTAATGAGCTCAAGTTCATTAGTACAAGATAGCTGAGATCACACTTTCCTGGCTTCACTACTGCTTCAGCAAACCAGGTGAGCATTTATTTTAAATGCTAAGATGTAATTTGTAACAATAAATTCAAAAATAAATGAAAAGAAGGTCATGTGTGAGTAATAGTGAAAGTCTTATTAATTAGTAGCTAATTAATTAGCAAGTCAAAGATAGTGAGCTTTGAATATTTTATACAGACAAGTAAACGTTAGCTTATGCAAGGATGTTGTCTGCCAAAATAAGGGTAAACTCCAAGAGCTGTTCCTAGTCACTGTAACATAAGATTGGACTATAGAACAAAGTAGCTCTACCTTTGTTCACATAAGCTTGAAGAAGATATGCACCAAGCTTCTCTGAAATAGCTTTATTAGAAAATACTGCAGCTGAAGAAGGGGTTATGTACCACAAGTCTATTGTCCCTTGTCATGGGTCCTTGTTGTGTGCCTGGTGAACAACATGCTGCTTTAGGCAGGAGATCAAGCTGCTGGTGAAGCTGTGCAGGGTTAGATACGTATCCTGCTCCTGGCAGGACTGTGTTCATGTCTGGTTTCTAAAATGCTGCGTTTTGTCTCAGATTGGAAGTTGTGACAGTGGAAACTTAAATTCAGTGTCTGCAGTTACTGAGGGCAAATGGTTCTGTGGAAGTGCATTTAGTCACAACCCTCTAGATATGGTCAAAGACGAGCACTTGAAAGAGAGCTGTTTTAAGAAACACAACTGAATAGAATGGAAGAAGCTGGAGAAGAGTTGTTATGTCACCTTAAAATTGAGAGCAGGATTTTAAATTTTATTAAAGGATAAGAGGGAGGCACAGAGGGAAGGCTACCTTAACTGGTTAAATTTGGGCAGCATGTAGAGGGCAGAGCTGAGAGTAAGATGTGCTAGAAGGGAAGATTCAGTATTAGTTCAGAGGAAAATAGTGAGTTAAGCATGTAATGATAACAGTGGTCCCGCTTTCTTTTTACAGAGAATGGAAATAGGTAAAGTATGAATAAGGTCAGCCTTGAATGCATTGCCTTGAGTAAGTGCCTCATGAAAATGAGGAATCTAACCCTAGGTAAAAGCAGTGTGATTGAAGTACACATGCTTTTATAGTATGCCAAACACTAAATCACTAAATCCTCTCCTCTATATGTGCATAGGCATGTACATGTGTGCATGCACAGCAGGGTTGTGCACTGTCATGACTTGTTACCAAGCAAAAATTGTTAACCAATTAGTTCATACAATAGTAACCTCCTATGTCAATGGCAGATTCTACAGATTTAATTTAGTCAGCAAGCTCTGCCTGTACTGACACTGATGAGCAGAGGAACTCAGACTCCTTGGCTCTTATGCCCCTGTTTGACTTTGGAACTCAGTTCGGAAAGTATTTTCATCTGCATCTTTGAAACTAGGACTGTACAATTTATTTAACCTTTCTACAAACCCATCTTTATGTCTGGAACAGCTTGTTGTTTTTCATCTAGTGGTTGCAAGTGTGACAGTTATGTTTTATGTGTGATGCAGAGCTACAGCATTACAATCCATTGTAGCCAGCAAAAAGAGTTCCTGATACAGGGAGCACTTTGAACCCTGAAAACCCAAATTATTTGTCCTAACAGGCTCCAAGCTCTTTCCAATGGTCTGTCAAAACAAACAGAGGAAAACAGGAAAAACAAAGGAAGGAGGGGGCGGGGTTGGGGAGTGCAGATATATATATAATGTAAGATTGTAGAACTCCACTATTTTAAGTCAAACACTATTTTTTATTTTTAAGCATATGATGGTCTTGTGTTGTGACAGCCTGAGCATCAGGCAAACTTCAGGTTTTTCAGTGGGTTTTTCACTGTTGGTGAGCTTTGCTGTAGTTTGTACAAGGATAGCATGAAACATCTGCCTATCTGCCTGTTGCATATAGAAGTATTTGGAGATCTCTGCTTTATCCACTGCCATTGATAGGAGGTGCTGAGATTTACAGGATTTGTTCTTAATAGCAAAACTGTAGAAAGAGTTGCTAAACCTCTTTTATAATTACTATACTGAAGAAGAACATACAGCTAAATTCAATACATAAGAGTTATCTACATTTTTTTTTCTAGTTTCAACATTCTTTTCCTGTAGAAATAGGTATTTAAATAATATAGGCTTTAAAATCAGCAGCAAATGGACCAGAGTGTATGTGTATAGAAACTCTCTAATTAAAATTAGTGCCTTTTAAAAATCACTGTAAACTCTGTTTTCTGTAATTATAACAAGCCCTAGAGTTTTACCTATGTAATAGTAATTTTTTTTACTGTCTTCACCATTATTTTCCTTTTCATTTATTTAACTACATCTAACTTGAGCAAACAATGTTAAGTGGGGAAACAGATGTGGTTAAATAGTCTGTAATTATGCCTTTAGTCATCTGTTGCCATCACAAGGCTCCTCCTGCTACCATGACCAGAAAAAGTGACCTAACTGATTTCACCATCAGCCTTGCCAGCGCCTGATGCAGAGTAGATGGCCTTATTAAGCAATCAGAAAAAAAAAAAAAAAAAAAGAAAAAAAAAAAAAGAAAAAATCAACCGTTGCAGTGGAATAGTAATCAGCAGTGTTTATACTGTCCCCACAATGCACAATCAGAATCATGAATTCTGCTAATTGGGTACCTTCTGCATCCAGAGTTGCCTGCAGTAGGAAACAAAAAGGATTTGAAAATTAGTGTTTGTATCAATTAGCTTCTGTCTGAAGGCTTAGCCCAGTTCATGGAAGCCATGATTTAAACAGAGATTATTATAGTAACTCTGGTATTTAAATGTCCTCTGTCATTATTCAGCATCAAATTTAGCATAGCAAGACTAATTTGGATTTACTCTTTAAAATATGATTGTTCAGAATTTTCCTAATCCTTAACTGCAAACCATATATTTTATGCTTTTTTAAATATTTCCCACATCAGTTATTTTCTTTTAAAGATTATGAGCTTGTTTCAGACTAACTGTAGAGGTGATTAAATGTGTTTGCTATTGAATTGCTGAGATTGAACGAATAGCATGTTGAGAGAGTTGGACTATTATTTTTCACAGAATGATCCACACTCTATTGGCATATTGAGGAATTCCACGCTTTGTAAAAATGGAAGGACTTCAAGTTTATTGTTTATAAACAGCTACAAATTCACACCAGTGAGTTGTGATATATGAAAGTTTAAGAAGAGAAATTTAGGCATGCATTTTTCTGAATAAACTGCTAGTGTATTTACAGATGAGCCTCAGTCAAAGCTCAGTGGATTATATTAAGTTGATTATAAAAAGCCTTTAGCCCTTTTTTTTCCTTTGAATCTTCAGAATTTCTGATGTAAATGTTCTGATTGACAAATCTCTGTGCTTCAGTTCTTACCATTACAGACTCCTTGCTGTTGGTGCTTACAGGACATATTAACAGTAGTACAATTTGAGAAACCTCTTCACCTTTTCTATCAAAGCACTGGCTTCATGTTCCTGCTTTTCTCTCCATATGGTTACTGAAGGTCTGTGACAATAGCATACAAGAAAAGCTTAGAATTTAGGAAAAAAAATGAAGAAGAAATAGGAAAAAGAAAGTAAAATATCTTTAAGTCAGCCCTCAGTTTTAGCTCTGCTCTTTAAAGGTTACGCTGAACAACGGAAATATATTATCTGCAA